GAGCTGCCGGCCCAACAGCACAAGAGCTGCCCTCAGAGCACAAGAGCTGCCCTCAGGGCCCAACAGCACAAGAGCTGCCCTCAAAGCTGACCCAAACAGCACCTCAACTGCTCAAGAGCTGCTGGCCCAACAGCACCTCACTGCTCAAGAGCTACCGGCCCAACAGCACCTCTACTGCTCAAGAGCTGCCGGCCCAACAGCTCCGGAGCTGCCTCCGGCTGACAGACTCGCGCGCGTAAGCGCGCGCCGGTCCCAAACAGCTCCGGAGCTGCCCAATTGCGGGTGTCCACGGACTCTGGAGCCTGAAGGGTGGACTTCACGGGGATCTTTCACTGTTTCGGTGCTGGCTCATGTTTTAACCCCTGAACCCTCGACCCTCAGATCTCCCGTGGACGCCTCGTCGCGTCGCAGGCCATCGTGACCAGGCTGTGGCCTTGGAGCTTCCCTTCTTCAACGTATTTCTCAACTTTGCAGTTGTTGCTTGGCCTTGGATTCTAGAGGTTTAGGGTTTGGGGCAGTTTAGGGTTTCGGGATTCTAGAGGGCCCTCAGGGCTAAGGGCCAGGAGCGTTTAAGGTTGTAGGGCCGTGCAATGCGCCTTCCAGGACCGAAGACGATGTGGAGGACATCCGTTCCTTTCGGGAGACTCTTGAACGGGCCTTCGAGTCGTGGAAGACGCCAGAGATAGTCATGGCCTCCTTGACTTGGTCTCTCAGCATTTCAGCTCTCTTCGAGAACTCAAGCTTTTTGTTGAGGGTCCTTCCATGAGAAAGCCTGTTTCAAATGTTTGCTTCATAAGGGGCACATGCTGAGGTCTATTTTGGGGGCGCCTGGCATCTTCCCTGACAATTTGCAGCATTCTCCACTTGGCTGCGAATTGGCATGTCACTGGCGATGGTGGCAGTACACCTGGCGGTTGGCTTATTCCTCTCGTGCCGCGAGAGCGCGATGCAGCTTGCAGAGATGCGGCGAACCCTCTTGACAGAGAGTAACACGGATTCATCGAAAAGTGGCGCCGAGGGCCTGCAGCGAGCTCTCGGGCTAGTGTCATGAATTCGACTCTTCTTCGTTAGAGTTGAGCAAGGCTGCCTGTCAAACACTTTCGGCAACGGCCGTTACCACATTTCGGCTCTCATACAGCATGGATTTGGACCATGTGTTCATGTTTACTCATCGCAGCAAGATCCGAATGCAAACAGTGAAGGCTTTAAGCGTAGTTGCGAAGGTTCGAAATGTAGTTGTCCGAAAATTAGTGTCCAGTTTCATAGGGTTCGCACGACATGCAGTGCAGGTTGTAACCTGGCGAACTGTGAGCTTTGGGTCATGCCATTTGTCTTTTGTTGATGCCAATGTCCTTGTGTGATGGGTGAATGTCGCCTTGCAGAGAAGGCCTGGCCATAGTTGCAGTTATCACCACAATGGAGAGCAAGGCAGGCCTTGGTAAACACGTTCGTCCGTTCGTGAAGATCTTCAGACATATGTTCTTGTTTTGGTCAGGGTGGATATGAGATAGAATGCCACAACGACCAAGAAGAAGAGATGGTCGTCGATCCCATCGAGGTGGGCGAGATGAATGAACATGTAGTGCTGCATTTCTTTTGATGCACTGCTAGATTGAACCTGAAAGTCGTCAAACACCCGTGGGCAACAGTGCTTTCGCCTCAAGCTCCGTCAGTTGCGAGGCTTGTGTAATTCATCCCTGCCATGTGGAACGAGGTCGATTGTCGCCGAGTTTTGACAGCGATGAACATATTCGGAGATCCCGAGGCTCACTTCTTTATTTCAGGTTGACTTGCTGTATTGTATTGTTTTTCGCAGGTGCTTCTGGTTCGAGACTTTTTGGATGCAGCGTGTTCCTTAGCTTGGTGTGCACTTAATTCTAAAACCGCACAGCTTTGTGGAGTGCTCGGTTTCCGCAGGATGCTGAAGTTGCAAGATCATGCAAATGCGTGTTGCTGCCGTGACTCCTTGACAAAAGATTGTTTACAATCTTTTGGTTTTCGCCTTCTAGGAGGGTTGGGCTGGCTGTTAGCGGTGGGATTCAAATCCTTAGGCCGATCGATGGTCTGGGGGAGGGCTTGGCCACCACCTTGGTTTTTTTAGACGGCTTGCCATGCTTTGCGTCAGGGCTTGGGCCCTTTCTTTGACAACTTGGGCAATTTTATTCGCTGCGGCACATCTGCACCACAGGAGAAAATGTCTCTCGCGACTGCTGTGCAAAAACAGACATTTAGCGACCTGAAACAAATATCACCCCAGTTGCTTGTCCGGCTGTCCTGCTTGAACATCCGGCAAATGGCCCGCTTTGGAAACAATTGAACCGTTAGGATCACAGGTTTGCTTTATCTGGTCTGTTCGGAAGTGTCTGACTGTGTTGGCAGGCAGTTCTTCAACAGCATCGTGCTTGGCAGTAAGGTTGTTTTGGGGCATTTCTGAGGCCGAGATTCAACATTTGATCGACTTCGCCGAATCTGGTCGCTTGCTAAGCTGACTTCTTTGTGGCGGTGGTCATGTCCTATTTGACGGAGACATGTCTGCGGCAAGATCTTGTCTCAGTTGCTTTTGATTCCCCGAGGCTGGGAACCTTCAGAGGCTGCGATCACTGTCTGTTCTCGATCAGCTGCGCAGACATGCGCATGTTGTGTCCTGCCCTTGAAGAGGTGGGACAAGGAGTCTATCGTACAAAGTACGAAGGGCAGGATTTGGTGACGACCTTGGGACTCTGAGTGGGTGCATGTTTCATGGCGAAGCACGTGATGGCTTAGGCGAACCAGGTCTCTGAGATACGAACGTCTTACTCTTGCCTTATAGAACCAGGGCAGAGTGAAATCATCACAGCGGCCGTGGCCTCAGAATGTCAGAGTCAGCAACTTTGCTACACGATATCAGCAGTGGTGGTCTCGTCGGACTGCGAGCCCCGAGATGAAATTGCCACTTGCCTGGTCGGGGATCTTTGTCGAAACTCCTCGCCTGCCCTGAGATCGAAAATCGGCTTGCTGCTCTCGCGGAGGGCTCCTCAGAAATGTGCAGCCTGCCTACACTAACACAACGCTGCTGCCAGGATCGCAAGCGGTTTGCATAGGGCCTGGGGATGCCTAGGGCATGGACATCAAGTTCTTGGAGCCCCTCAACATGGTCCGGTGGGGTCCTCGACGACACCACAGACTACTTCTGAATCACTGTAATCCTGCTGCAGCGTGCTGCATGTTTGTCAGGTATTTGCCGGGGCAGTATTTCAACGAGCATCATGATGGACGGTTTCGTCGAAGCCTGAATGCAGCAGGATCGTGTCCACCCAAGTTCATGCGGGCCCACACAGGCCTGCGATACACACGATGAACATGGCAAGGTCCGAAGACAATCTTCCTTTATTTGAATGATATCGCGCGGCTTGGTGCAGACTTGACTTGGCACTAAACTTAGCCAGAATCCTGGCATCCCGAGACCCGGCGACGGCGGTGAGACGATGTTTCCGGAGCTGCGGCTGAAGGCCCGCCACCTTTCAAAGAGCACTCTCCCACTGTTCGGAGTTTGAATCAGATCGTGCCTCGCCGGGGCTGCGCAGCTCGGCACCCCAGAAGGAAGCGAATATGTCGAGTTCCTCCAAACTTCGTCGCCTCGTGTTCCAAAGCGATGCTCCGTGAGGTCATGTGGAGCAATGTGCTGGGTCCTCAACAAGAGGACAAGCGAATGGTGCGCCGCCGCAAATGCCAAGCTCGATTTCCTGCTTGCATCTACGCTCATCTGCTTGCACTGTTGCAGCTCGAGCGCGATTCTCTGTCCAATTGGTGCAGCCTTTGGCTCCAAACCGCTGTACAGCAAAGGTGCCGCTAGGGCACCTGAGGTGACCTTTGCAATTCTGGGGCAAGGTCTGGTCATGAATGCTGATGTCGGAGTCTGTTTTCCATCCATCAACATCTCCAGGATCCAAAGATGGCTCTGCTCGTCACCATTCTTGCGGCTGTGGCTGTGGTGGGATCTGCATCTGCCTTCGCCTGAGGTCCCGAATCGTTTCCGCGTAGAATTCGCACGTCGCATGTTTTGGCAGATCGCAGCTATCCGAGACTCTTGGGGAACTTTCCCCTTGTTTTCACGTCTTTGCATGCTCTGCTAAGGACAGGAATCTGAGAGGCGACGAGGCAACCAATTTATCCTTGTCTCAATTTGTCGTCGTCGTTGTTGTTGTTGTTGTTGTTGTTGCTGTTGCTGCTGTTGTTAAAGAGAAGCTTTCCGTTGTTTTCTGTCGCCGCCCGCGCAAGTTTCGTGATTGTTCTTTCGGACACGATGTGCTTGAGCTTCATGGGTTCGGGTACGGACTTAATGTCGTGCATCGGTCGTCGTATGTGGTGGCCCGGTTCAAGTCAGCCCAAACAAACATATGGCATCCCCATCAGTTTAGTGTTTGAGCTGAAGGCTCGCATTTTAATTAGCATGCAGCCACATGCAGTCTTTTTACTCCTGAAGGACTCAAAATCTTTGATTCTGCCGAACACTTCGCCTGCATCAGCAGGGCTGGTAAGTCGCTGTTAACATCACTGCTGCGGACTCGTCCGGAAATGTGGATGACACTTCGTGAAAGTATGCAGAAGGCTTGACGAAACAAGGCAGCAAGGTTGCGCCGCAGGTTGAACGCAATGCAGCCAGGAAGAGACTCCGGCTGTGCCACAGGACCTCAAGTCAGACCACAGTGACTGCACGTCAATGAGGGAAGCATTAAGGCCGTGCCACACTGAGTGATCTCACGCAGTCAGACGGTTGGAAAAACTGGGGGAAAGCGAAACTTGCATGTTGGTCGCTGCAGTTTCCGAGAATGGTGTGCAGGCGAGAGGAAACAGCTCCAACACCAGTTCCGAAGCTGCTTTGTCACTGGCTGGACGTAACCATGCTGCAGGTGTTACGTAAAATTATTCAAGTCTGATGCTGCAAATTGCATGTGCTGTTTTGTACCAATTCAAAGCTGGCAAGGGTTGCTGAGGTAACGTGAGCTGGACCCAGCCGGTTGTCGAGGTTGCAAACTTTACGGAGTATGTCAGAACCAGCTTCGACTTCTTCAAGTCTACTTGGAAGAGCATGTTCGGCAACTCCTCTGACAGCAACCGGAACGACACTGGTGCTGGCATCAAGCGCAGGTCCTGCCTCTGCATTTTCGATGTTGACAGGATGGGGATGGTGGGGACGGTGGGAACCCTGACTAAACCCAGCCCCAAAGCCCAGTCTGTTTCCCGAAAGCCCGAGCCTACATTGACCCCAAGCCTGACAGGACGCTGACTGGAAGACAAGGTGATACGCACAGCTGCCCAGGAAACAGGGTTGTTCATGGAAGTTACGACGATGCATATGGGGGTGGATCATTGACGCTTTCACAGTTGGGCCAGAACTTATGGCAAACGTTCTGTGGCGGTTGCTATGTTCGGGCCATCACAGCTCATCCGCATCGTCGGCCCAATCTGCCGGTCTCAGAATCTGTGGTTGGCTGCAATGGAGGTTGCAAAGCACGCCATGCAGCGCGGCTGGCTTCTGAGCTGGGTGTTGCCAAGGCAGAAGTCTACATGTTCGATGACAAGGTAAGCAACATCAACCCTTTTCGTGGCACCGGGATGAATGCTCATCAAGTATCGTGTGGAAGCCGTGAGGGTGGGCATGGCTTGTGTGGAGCCACTCTTGGAGAGATCCGTAATTCAAAAGGAGTTTCGACATGCCGCTGACGAACGTTGCGCATGTCATTCTGCATTCATAGCTACTTCGCAACATGAAATGGTGACAGTGGCCGCTGCGAGGCCGAAGGTGCAAAGCCTGCCATAGACAATACGTCTTTCGTGCACCACCTTGGGCTGCAGCGAGAATTCGGCTTCTTGTCTCTAGCTGCCATTGGGTTTACAAGTTTCAACCCGATGTTTCTACGGAGACTGACGTTTGACGAAAAGAAGCACATTGCATTTCATAATGCCAGCGTGAAGCACGGCCCAAGCACTGCAGGTGCACCAGGGGCTACCACCAACAACCGGTACGAAGTACGGCCAGACTCTGACTTGTTGAATGTCTCCAAACGTTTGCGGGAAGCATAAGAAGCACAAGAAGCCAGATCCAGAATCTCAGGTGTCAACTGTTTCTTCAATGACAAGCCTATGCGGCGGTTCGTTTGCGAAGGACTGCCAGACTGCGCGGCTTCACCCGATTTCACTGAGCTCCGTTTGCGTTGAAAGGCTCAGACTCTGTGCCTACGAGTCCTCGCATCAACGGTGTTCTGGCAAGTCATCTGCTTTGCGTGGTAGACTCCATGACGTGGTCTCGCTTCCAAAGGCAGTGGACCGGAGACCTTCCTGGACCCTCTGCTTCTGCAGCAGTCAGTGGAGCGTCCAGCGGGTTCCCTGGCCGAGCTTGTGATGTGGTGGTAACGTCTGAAGCAGAGCTAGGCCGAGAATCCGCAACTCAAGCCGGGAGGACAGTTGGTTCTTGATGCATCCATAGCTTGCTGGGAAGGCAGATTAAGCGTACCACGCCCAAGCGCATCATGTGATCACTTTGATCATTACTCTCTTCACAAGATGCGAATCTAGAGCCGATGATGGGCAATTTAATCGGGGGTTTCGCCCCTGTGGCCACCTCCATGTCGATCACAAGTCCAGTTTTCTTGGATGGGCCTTGAAACAGCAAGGATGTTTCTTTTTTGAAGCATTCGTTTTTTATGAAACTACTTCCTTAGCGGCAAAGTCATGTGTCAGGACTCCGCTTTGCTAGGCCCCCATATCTGGCACATGCGCCACGCACTTTACGACATTGTAAACGGGAAGCGAACTGTCCAAGAACTCCATGTAGCGGCAAAGTCATGTGCCAGGACTCCGCTTTGTAGGCCCCCATATCTGGCACATGCGCCACGCACTTTACGACATTTTAAACGGGAAGCCGATCTGTCCAAGAACTCCATGTAGCGGCAAAGTCATGTGCCAGGACACCGCTTTGTTAGGCCCCCATATCTGGCACATGCGCCAGGCACTTTACGACATTTTCAACGGGAAGCCGATCTGTCCAAGAACTCCATGTAGCTAAGAACGTCAGGTTAACAAAGAGAATGACGGGCGACATCCATAGACTAATAGCTCCAAGATCCACGCTCGCTTGACCAATGGGCCGTGGTCGATCATGTCATCTGCTCGCTGTTTTTCGATGCAGAGTCAAATTTCGTGAATCTGCTTTGCAACGCCTCATTTTTCTGTTATCTGTACTGTAACCTAACATGCCTGACCTGTGCAGCTGCCAGACACTGTACTCAAGCCGCCGAGACCGTTGCCAGGCCGTCAAAAGCGACCTCCCGTCTACTGCCTAAACTCAGAATTCTTTTGATCATGTTTCGTCGCTGTACTAGGTAGACGGACTTTGTACAGACGGCACTTGCCTGAACAGGCATCACGAAAGGATGAAGTTTTCGTTTACCAACTTAGCCCTAGTAGTAGGCAGTATCGAAAACGCGTTCGGGCCCTTATCAGGTCCTGAGCCAATAGTTAAGGCGGGGCGGGATGCCCTCCCCCTTCATCTTCACTTCCGGCATACTCGCGTGTGCAGTACATGTTGGCTCCAGCGGCGCCCGCCTAGAGTGCAAAGCTTTGAATGGCTACTTTGACAGCCCTTCAGCGAAGACGAGCGCCGCATGACTTCCCCTAGCTTTCGTGGATCTCTTCTCAAGTTACCATCCGATGCCCGCCATCGTCTCGGACGGCCCACGCTCCAGGTGTATGCTGTCGCATCATTCCGGTGCACATCGCTGGGCTTTGCTAAAACTTCGAAACGTTTTTGTGAGCTTGCATCTGCGCACGGCTCTGTTTATGGCCTTAAATTTACATTGCTCGTACATACATTTCATTTCTCTCTTCTGTAAAATTTACTGTATCCCTCCAAACTCTCCAGATCCGTGTGACACCAGTGCTCAGCTGCATTTCTTATGTTTGACTTTTCTGGAGATTGTCGGTCTCCTGAGTATGCATGTGTAGTTAAGGTAGGGAGGGGCCCGGTCCCGGTACTGTGCCATTTGGCAAAGCTTTCCGTGCCGAGAAGGTGTCGTGTCTTGTGTAAAACAAAGGGGAGTTGCCTTGCCTTCGGAAAGTACAGTAGGCATCGTTCATGACATAAACTTGAGCCCGGGTCCTGACAGGACGTTGCTTTCGAAGGCTTCGAGTGTCTAAAGAGCCTGCATTGTCGGAGTCTGAGCAGGCTGAGAGGGTTGGGTGCTAGCAAATTTGGGCGACATTTCTCGGCAAGCATCCATGTTCCAAGATGGGTCGTGCCGGACCTTGTTTCTGGACGGGAAGCCAGTGTGTCCGACATGTCTGTTCTATGCCTGCATCATGCAGATGACACGCACGGTCGATCTTCTTGCCAGGTCTGCTTATGGATGTAGTCGACAAGCAGCAAGGGCGCATTCCGCCGAACAGCCCACGTGAAAAAGGGTCGGATGGGTGGGACTCTCAGCTGGACTGTGGACAATGGCTCAGAATTGTCCGACGGTGTCGCCGGCTGCCGTTGAATCAGGGAGGTGGAAGAGCTGCTCGCAGACCTGCAAGAACGCTTGCGAGCAGCTGCAGGCCGGGGCACGTGTTGGCATGTCCACAACCCAGAACTCAAATCTCTTGTTCGCAGGATCTGCATCTCAGCTGGAGCGGAGGCCCCAGCATGCCACAACATGCAGCTTAGGCAAGCAGCTAGTGGTAAGTGAATTTCGTGCACCAGCCTGCGACACGAAAGATGAGGTTGCTGGAGCTTCGTCGACTTGCGCCATCAAAACAGGCACTTACAAGAGATGGCACTGATATCAGAGCTCCTTTGCATGAGTGCGAGTCTGCGAGGCCAGTGCCGGAGCGCCGGTCATTACCGCTCCCAGCACTCCCGCACACGCACTGGTCCTCAGCTGCACCACTTGGCACCAAAGCACATGGGCAGAACAAGCACAGAGGAAACTTCACCCAGGCTGAAAACTTCCGGGCGGTCTACCTCTTCCTCAACGTTCAGTCGCTTATGATTTTCGGGAAAGCCGTACTGTCAACCGGTCGGCTCTCGGTTTGCTGAGGACATCCCAGATGGAGGTGGTGGAGAGTTGCATTTTCCGCAGATTCGCGTGAAGGTCTGATTCCTGGCCCTACCTTGCATGTTTGCAACGGTTTGGTTGAGGGGCCCATGGCTAACAGGAGCGGCTGATATCGTGATGCTGAGGTCCGTGCAAGGCGTGGCTTTGCGGTCGTCTGGAACTGCGGCCAGGATCGAACATCTGGCAGTCACTAGCATGACTACTGTGAAAGGTGAAAGTCGTTACCGGGCCCTTGTTTTAGCAGCAGTCAAGGGGGAATAAGAAAAGAAGAAGGCGTTACTTTTAGCGTTTAAGAGGGGTTTAGGTTACCCAAGTTTAACAGGAGGGGATGATTGGATC